GCAACGGTTGGAATATTTGACTCTCAAATACCTCAAGGCTATCATGTTCCTCACTTTGTAGGCAATCCACACTAGCGAATTCCTAACTCTCAGTCGGAACAAATTCCTCAGAGACCAGAAGAACTTCGTCTCTGTCACTGAAGAATATGACTGAACTATGCGAGATTTCCAATGGCTTCACTCGAAAGGATTGGCAGGTGTAGGATTTTGAGTTGAGCATCACATGGAAATTTTTCCTTAGTATTTCCTCGATCCCCTTTAACAGTATGGTGTTTCCTATGACTCAAGAAAGAGCAAGAAAGAGAAAATGAAACAGTAAAAACAAGAGTCTTCACGCTTCATGTTCCTCGAATGATTACGAAGTCTTCAAGGTCACACCAATTTCTTTACTTTCAAAGTCTTCAGAAATCCAAAGTCTTCAGTCGAAGAACTTCCTTTTTAGGGGTCGACTTTCTCTGTAAATATCAAACTCCTCATATACTTATAGACCTGTGTACACTCACAAACGCATCAGTCTCTTAACCTATAAGTCTTCAATACACCAAAATCACTAAGGGGCACTAGATGCACTTACAATTATACTAGTATTTCTCTTTCTCTTTCCGTTCAATTCATACCCTTACTTCGAAATTTCTATGTTCTATTCCACCAGCAGGCATCGTACTATGGATCATCCGGTGAAGGCGATCAAGATGGGTGTCCACTCTTCCCCCCACTCAGTTCAATCATGCTCCCCATAATGGTTCATGCTTGACACCGCAGTCGTCCTTGGAAAGCTCGACAATAACACCAAGGCCACATTCCACTCGGATGCCGGCTTGAACTTCTCCCTTCACCTTAAGGTTACTAGTCCGCCAGCCTGCTCTCATGTATACCTTGACTGCTCAGGGGCTGTGACGCCCCCAACAGAAGAGCACGACTTCTATGGGGATTCCTCCGTTGCCGCTACCGATGGAGAGCTCCTGCTTGTTCTCATTGTGGTGCCTGTGAAAGAGGAGTATGGAGGCTACAGCTACCCTGAAGGGTATTTCATTTACCATGCCAGCCCGTCAGGCCCCTCAATTAGGCGCCTACCTTTTTTTGACTAGGCACGATGGCCTGGGGTTGTTCTTGGTATCATTCATGACCGCAGACAGTTCTTTATGGTCATGACCTTCAGAAAATTGTTTGTTCTCGGGGATACGTCTGAAGACACTGACAAGGAGTTGGTTGAACTTGGTAGGTCCTCCCAAAAGGATCCACTGTGGCGTGTGCAGGAAATAGGGTTGACGTATGACCTTGAGAACAGGCTGGAGCCATTCCAGTGGAACACTGCCTTCTCCTTCTCCTACGAAAACAAAATGTGCTTTATTGATTACAGGACCGTACTTATGTTCTATGATATTTGTGAATGTTATCGCGAGCTCCAGTTCGTCAAATTCCCTGTACCGGTGATAAAAGTTAACTTGAGCGATGGTAATGTGGAAGAAGTCGGTGCGCCGATTGAATCATACAGGACTGTTGGTGTCTGTGATGGAAAAATCAAGTTCGTCAATGTTGATAGTTTCTGCATCAAGACATGGACGCTGTGCATCCCGGATATGAAGTGGGTGGAAGAAGACAACCTCATTGTAAGCGAGCTATTGGTTGCCTTGGAAGCTTCCCACCTACCTCTGTGTGTTCCGCGGCTCCCTGTTGTGGATGCAGAAGACCCAGGTATACTAAACTTTCGATTGTGGGGGGCGGATTATCATGACAGCGTATGGTTAGTCAGTATCGAAATGAAGGCGCAGATACTGATATCCTGGAAGAAATACAGTAAATCTGAGCAGCACGACGGTTATGAAGGGGTGTTTATGTACAAACCCTTCATATGTGGTGTACTATCCAAAGAACATGCATCAGATAATTAATTACATATTTGTTGATTCTTGTAGTGCATTACATAGTAACTTCTGCTTCATTTCATTATATATTAAATTGTGGGAAACACAGGCCAGGTTATTTTATTGTCTTTGTTGTTTGTAATTGTTATGGTCATGTCTCTCTGTCTCTGCGTTTCTTAGAAACCAGACTCTGTTGCATGCACAACTGTACCATCTTTCTAGATCTCCTAGGGCCTCCCAAGTCTTATAGGCTGACGTATATGGCCAGGTGATGTCATCAGGCAATGCCTTCGGTGGCTGAATGATCTTGAAGCTGAGCCAAATTCCTTCGATTACGAAGGGGTGTTTATGTACAAACCCTTCATATGTGGTGTACTATCCAAAGACCATGCATCAGATAATTAAAGAATTTTATGCTTTATCATGTTCCATATTTGTTGATTCTTGTAGTACACCGTAACTTCTGCTTCATTTCATGATATATTAAATTGTGGAAAATACGGGCCAATTTTTTTATTGTCTTTGTTGTTGTATATGTGTTATTGGTCTTGTCTATTTGTATGTACCTTTCTTAGAGCATCTACAGCCGAGATTGGCAAATTCGGTCCCTCAAATGTCCGTGGACACGACCGGGCACGACCAGTCACACCTCAAATTTGCTACTCTGCATCTGAGTCTCATATTTAAACCCGTAAATCCATACAATATGCAAAAGAAATCCTACGTACTACCCTAGCTAATCTTTATCGTCGGAGATGTCCACAATGTCGGTGTCGGGCGCCGGCTCCTCCTCCTGGACCTCATCCATGTAGGTGAGCATCTCCTCCTCCTCTACGGCGTGCTACGCCTCCATCTCCTGCCAACGACGGCATCTGGCCTTCGCATCCGACTCCGAGCGAAGGGAATCGAGGATGGCTTGCTGCTTCGTCTGCAGATTCGCGTTCGCAGCGTCCCCCACATCATCATCCTCCTCTCCCTCCTTATCCTCCTCCAACTCCTACTCTGGATCCACTGCATCCGGAGGTAGCCCCGCGGCGATTCGGGCTTCGCGTCTTGTCCGAATTTGCTCAAGGAACTGCAGCCGGCGCTCCGGCATTAGAAATGGGTAGCTCCTCACCCGACGGCGTGGGGGCATGACTACTAGTGGTGGCGGGAAGTGGAAAGTGGCGGCAACGGCAGATGGGTGGAGGAAAATGAGGAGGGGTAGGGTTTTGGTGCCGGCGGTCGGCTTAAATAGCCGAGCTAGGCACTACGCGGCCCGCCGAAGCGGCGCCACGCGACGACATCGGTCCGACAGAGGAGGCGAGCTTCGGACCGCCGGGTTTCAGACTGTTTTCGTGTGGGAACTCCGGCGTTAGTCCGACATGGCAAACGCGCCGGAGAGCCTCATATCCGCCCCATATTTTGGCTGGATATGAAGGGTGCGGGTTAGCCCGGGCGTTTGAGGTCTGTTTGAGGCGTCCGTCTAGGTCGAATTTCCGTTATCGGGTCATCCGCGCGGGCGTTTGAGACGGATTTGAGACAAGTCCCGTTGTAGATGCTCTTAGAAACCAGACTCTGTTGCATGCACAATTGTACCATTTTTCTAGATCTTCTAGGGCATCCCAAGTCTTATAGGCTGACGTATGGCCAGGCGATGTCATCAGGCCCCTTCGGTGGTTGAATGATCTAGAAGCTGAACCAAATTCCTGTTAGAGCCGTTGATGCGTCTAGCCTAGTATAGTAGCATCGCAATGGACAAGTCTATGCCGATGTGGCATCATAATATCAATCAGTATGGAAATAAATTAAAATATAAAAAGAATATACTAGTAATGGCGTTTCCAATCCCATGTTATAGAGTTAATTGCATACTGATTATCAGGGGCTTCATCTACAGAAAACCATCTGGTCCCTAATCATTTGTAAAACTCACCGTGCATTCAGTAAACTTTTTGCAAAAGCATTGATCGGGTGATTTAGCCCGTTTAACCACTTTTCGACAAGTGGGGCCGAAATGTAAGGAGCTGATTTGACAACAAATTGACGTATACCTCCCTGGATCTTAAAAGAAAAAGCAATCAAGCCCCTCCCCTCCCCCACGGAGGGCATCTCCTTCCTCGCGCGCAGCAACAGGGGGGCACACCGGCCGGCGAGACGCGTGACGGCGCAGGAGATGTCCCCGCAAGCGCCGGCCGTCTTCGCGAGCGCGAGGGACAGCGGCGCACTGTCGCCACGAGCCTCCGCACGCTCTCGAGCCGCGCCACTTGGTCCTCTAGCGCGCCACAACGTCGATCCAGGGTGTGGCGGCCATCGGAGCTCTGTCTGGGCGGCGGTGAGCTCCTGGATCCACAAAGAGGAGGCGACAGGGTGGTGGCGCACCTCTCCTCTGCTCCCCTGGAGCCGGCAGCACGCTCCTGGGCATCGAGCGGCCTAGGCGTCACAGAGAGATGGCCGAGGAGCGGCCACGGCAGGGCCTGGGCGTCCCCGACAGATGGCCGAGGCGCGGCCACGACAGGGCCTGGGCGTGCCGCCGGCCTTCAAGGGCCCGAGCAGCAGCCGCACTTGCGCTGCTTCCGGCAGATGGCAGGGCTGGTGGAGCGAGCGCGCCCCGCGGCCGCGAGTATGGAGGCGCTCCTCCTGCCACTTGTTTGTCGTCACGAGTAAGAAGACGGGCGCGGCGGCGCTGGCAGTGGTCTCCGGCGATGGGAGTGGTGTGTCTGACAGTGGAGGAGTGGCGCCGACCGGACAGCAGCGCGCCGGCGGTGAAGGGCTTTGGGGTGTTTGGACTGCTCGAGGTTATCCACAAGGGGAGGGGGGACTGATTGCGTTTTTCCTTTAGATGTAGGGGTGTGTGTGTTAATATGTTGCCAAATCAGCTCCTTACATTTCGGTCCCGCTTGTCAGAGAGTGATTAAACGGGGTAAATCACTTGATCGGTGCTTTTTGCAAAAAGTTTACTGAATGTGCGGTGATTTTTACAAATGATTAGGACCAGGTGATTTTCTGCAGAAAAAGCCCGAAATGTGGTGGTTATATGCAATTAACTCCATGTTATATTACGTACCCATGTAATACGGCCAGCTCTCTCTCCATCCCCTCTCTCAAATGACCATCGAATTGCACTTAAGTCGCCACCATCAATCCACCATTATACTATCTCAACAGCGACGACGTCATCACCGTGCTGCAGGTGGCCGAGCTGCCAGAAGTATACATCTCCTCGTCGCCCTTCACGAGCACGACCGGCCACATGAACGCGGGCCTCGACGGCGGCACGTCCGGCGGCGGAGCGGAGTGCGTCAGGATCTGCAGGATGGCCTGCGCCTTGGGCCGCTCGCCAGGGTTCGGGTGGCTGCACGCGAGGCCCAGCAGCAGGAGCCGCTCCGCCTCGGCCTCGTCGAACGCGCCGGCGAGCCTCGGGTCGACGGCCTCGAGGACGCTCCCCGCGCCATGGAGCTCCCACGCCTCCTCCAGCAGCTGGCTGCACCCGGCAGGGTGGCAGCAGGAGTTCCGGCGGCCGCAGACGATCTCCAGCACGACGGCGCCGAAGCCGAAGACGTCCGACTCCCTGGTGGCCCGGCCGGTGTGGAAGCACTCGGGCGCGATGTAGCCCAGCGTGCCCGGCAGGCCGGCCCGGTCGGTGTAGGAGGTCTTGTCGGCGTCGAGCGCGCGGGCGAGGCCGAAGTCGCCGAGGCGGGCGTTGAAGGCGGCGTCCAGCATGATGTTGGACGGCTTCATGTCCCGGTGGATCACCACGTGGTCGTAGTCGTGGTGGAGGTAGTTGAGCGCCGACGCGACGCCAGCGGCCACCTTGTACCGCTGCTCCCAGCTGAGAGTCGGAGACGGAGCGTCGCCGGCGCGGCCGAAGAGGTGCCGGTCCAGGCTGCCGTTGGGCATTAGGTCGTACACCAGTAGCAACACGCCGTTCTGGTGGCACCAACCTGCAAACAATCAAACAAACAAACAAGCGCATCCATGATCTTTAGCTGTTAATGAATCTACCTTCAAGATCACATGGGAACAGTTTCGTGTGATGACTTGGGAGTGTTTTCAGCTGCTAATCTATCTTTCTTTTCTCAAGATCACATGGGAACAGTCACGTCTTCATCACACACAAGTACTGTATATTATACTGTAATGCAATTGGGGTGCTGGTGTGTGATGATGACCGATGAGTGTGAATTGCTTCTGTCAAATGGGAACTAATTAAGTCAGAGATGACTCATTTTCCGGCGGCCTACCCTACTGATATATTATCCAAAAAACAGTAAGCAAGGTCAATTTTTGCATCATCAGAAAGTGACGCATTGCTCGCGTTCGATTCTACCATGTCGCTTTGTTTTGTGCACTCCAATTATTGCATGGAGTTACCAGCCCGTGAAATTGCCTTTTTATTTCTAACTCCTAGTTGCCTACGTCGTGTGCTTATTACTAGTTAGTCCAAGTTTGACAGAGAAACCTTTGAAAAATGTGGCAGAGATGTTCAATGCCCTATTCTACTGATCTGATCTTAACCAGAGCTACATGCAAAACAGCAAGTCAAACCTATTTTTATCGCATGACCAAACTAACTAATAAATGAACAATCTGAAATTGACAGACTAAGGGCATCGGCGACCCACAAATTTACAATTCAAACTAACCAAATGAAATTCGCTCAAACACAATCGGATTTCATGGTATGTCCGACTCTGGAGGTATAATTAATTAACATAATCTATGATTGCCGGTGCCTGTTTCCCGTGTCCGGCCATGAGCCTCGAGAACTGAAACTTTGCCTTCTTCAGTTTCACCTCGGCGCTCTCCAGCTCCGCCTCTATAACCTACGCATCCAAAGCCCCGGGAAGTGAAGTTGTCCGCCTCCGCGTCGCCGCCAAGCAACTTAGCGGGCGTCAATTTTAGCCCACCAAACTTGCCTTCAACGGGAGAGGAGGAGCGAAGGCCTTGTTGGGACCTGAGCGGCGGCGACCTACCGTGTTCTACTCTTCCTCTTTGTCGGTGGCGCCCGCGAACGTGCCTTCTTAGTGGTCGTGGTGGTAGGCACCGTCTGGGCAGTGTCCTTCGCCTCGTCGCCGGTCTTGCCCCACACCTCCTCCAGCGCCTCGTCGAACTCCTTGTAGGCGGCCTCCAGTTCCGCCTGACGTTGGCGTGCCGCCAGCGGGCGAGTCAGATCTCACAGGCGGAGCGGTAGGACTCGATAGTGTCGCCCGCTCTGCCAGGTCCACGTGCTTCATTGGGACGTCGTCATCCTCTGGTGCCTGCCGGCTAGCTAGCCGGCAACAATAATGGTCAGCTCCTTCTTTTGGTCCGTCGTCAGCATGTCCCATAGAGGTTTAGAGCGGGAGGAAGCCATGATGGGAGTGGTGCAGAGAGAAGAAAGGGATTGGAGGCGGATGCTTGCGGCTATGGCCAGGGAAGCAGTTTATATAGCAATGGTGGACGACAGATGGATGGACGGTTGGCGTCAGAGTAGCCGCCTCGGAAACCGCGTGTCATTAATGTCGGCAGCAGACAGACGGACGGGCGGCGATTGTATCGTTTGAATGCAGAGCAGTCGCCTGCACTGGGAAGCGGCGCGGGCGGCACACCCTTCAATGCCGGCGCTAGTGAGAGGTCACGTCCCCTCTGGCAGGGCGTGAATGCGGCACCGACGCTTTGGAGCGGCGCTGACCATTTCGGGGCAAAAGCACGCAGGCGACGGAATGAGTTTGGGTGGGTCAGGGTGGTCAGACGCGGGCTTGGGGGCAAACCGGACGCCCGCAAAACCCCCACGCTTGTCTTCGATTTATAGGAGAAAACACGTCTGGACTGCTCGGCGGACCTATAAAGCCTGCGTTGAATGGCTTCCGCAGTCCGGACAACGTGGTCCGGACGTATGTGGACGGTTTAAGGGTCAGCGTTGGAGCATATAATAAACTATAGTCTAGTTTTAACCTCCTTTCCAGAAAATATATAATGAGCAATAATTCAGCAGAAAAATCAAAGTATTTAAGAATTGAACATTCCTAAAAAGTACTAATTAAAAATGAGCATAGTGAACTGGACAAGCTAACTGAACCTACAATGAGCAATAATTCAGCAAAAACGAAGAAGATTGGAAATGATATGATCTGGGACAGAAGCAATTCCTTACGTACCGATGAGCTTGACAAGATTACGGTGGCGGAGACGGTTGATGATGCTCAGTTCGGCGAGGAAGTCCTCCTGCCCCTTGGTGTTGGCCCCGGAGAACTGCTTCACGGCCACCTCCATGCTCCGCCCGCCTTCCCCGGCCACGGTGGCGCGGTACACCACGCCGTACCCTCCCTGCCCCAGCTTCATCTTCTTGTCGAAGTTGTTGGTCCCTCTCTTGAGCTCCCTGAAGTCGAACTCCCTCGGCATCCCCGGGATGGCGCTCAGGTCAACGGCGGTGACGCCGGCAACCATCTTGCCCTTCCTCCTGATGTACAGGCCGGCGAGCAGCCCGATGGCGAGCGCGACGGCGCACGGCACGCCCACGGCCGCCCCGAGCTTCCACCCCGACATGGACCTGCTGGCCGTGCTTGAGTCGGGGAGCCTCTCCACCGTCATGTTCCACATGCGCACGCAGTTGAACTGGTACTTGACGCCCGTGGACGCCGAGAAGCCGAAGTAGGCTCGCTTGCCAAGGAGCACCGTCGAGAGGTCCAGCGGCGCATCGAGTACAGCGACGCCGGGCCTGCTCCCGTTCTTGGCCATGTATGCCCGCACGCGCCGCGTCGCGCCGTTGTAGTCGACCCAGACCATGTAGAAGCCGTCGTTGACCGTGGTGTCGATGGGGGCGAGCTGGATGCCGAAGGGCGTGAGCGCGGCGGCGTGGGTTGAGCGGACGCCGTTCACGTCGAGGCCGACGTGGTTGTCGTCGAGGTCGTAGGGCTGCTTCACCGTGTCCAGCTCCACGGCCGCGAACCCGTTGGCGGCGTTGCCGTCGGTGGACGCGTTGGTGAGGCCCAGGTACCCGCCGTGGCTGCCAGGGGGCGGACTCCCGCCGCCGTTGCTGGACGCGACGACGAACGCGAGGCCTTCGCCCTTGTTGGTCGCGTTGGCGCGGTAGAGGTTGATCCGGAACACGGTGGAGAAGGAGGCGACGTACCTGCCGCCGGCGGGTTCAGAGGCCCAGAGGACGAACGGCGAGGAGAGGAAGACGCTACCAGTCTGGTTGACGAGGAAGTTGTCGGGCCCGCTGGCGCTATTGCTGTCCGGGGTGATCTGGAGCGTGTTCTGGGTGACGCTGGAGTTGCCGGCAAAGGTCAGGTTGGTGGGGAGCTGCATGAGGGACCGGTCGAACGTGGGGAAGGAGAAGGTGGTGAACTCCTTGCCGCCGACGGTGCTGGTGAAGGTGGCGGACTGGGCGCGGACGGCGTGGAGGGTCAAGCAGACGGAGATGCACCACAGCAGGACGCCGGCGGCGGTGGAGCAAGGAAGGTGGCAGGAAGGCCCCATGGATGGAGGCACCATGGGGAAGATCGAGTAGAGGAGACGGTGGTCAGATGGCAAGCGGTGACGTACGTAGGTGCACTGATGTACCAATCCAACACGGGGTTGGTAGAGAAGCTGGGGGTCGTCGCGCGTCTTTTGCGGCTCGCCACCTCTTCCCACTTGTTGCCACTGACCACTGCTCCTCTTACAGCGACTCTATTAGACCCGTAAAAGTCACACCCGGAGAACACGTTTACAGTTTGCTGTACATCAGATTTACGGGGCGAGTTCGTGCGCTGCAGATCTGACCCCGTATATAAAACTGTAAAGTTTGAAAAAAACAAACATTTGCATGGAAAACTTGCAACGATATTTATCATAAAGAAAAGTATACTTTTGGTGCCCCAACTCTCGGTGAAGTGTAGATTTGGTTCTCAACTCCGAAATCGGACAACTTATATTCCCAATTACCGAACCGGACAAGGTTCGTGTCTTTTTAAAAAAAAAATCTGTGTTCCTTTTCCACTCCATGAACTTTGTTTGAAATTCATGTACTTGTTTCAAGTTGACATAATTTTTCAAGTCCCATATTTTCCTAATTTCCGTAAAAGAAATCCAAATCCGCGTACCTTTTCAAGTTCGCATAAAATTTTCAAATTCATAAACTCTTTCCAAAAAGATGTACGCAAATATGAAAAAGTACGTTAATTTTTTAAAAATAGATGAATTTGAAAAGCTACATGAACTTTAAAGAAGTACATGGATTTGAAAAAAGTAAGTGAACTTGGAAAAAGTACGCAGATTTTAAAAAATACACAAAATTTTAAAAAGTTCACGTATTTGAGAAAAGTAGCAGAATTTGAAAACATTAAGACTTGGGAAAAAGTACGCGAATTTGGGCAACGCGGTCAAAACCGGGGTGAGACAGCACCAAAACCGGTCAAAACCGTGAGCAGGAATTGAGGGACGAAAAATATACTTTTCTCTTTATTATACATAACTAGCAAAAGAGCCCGTGCGTTGCAACGGGAAAGAAAACATAACACACGCTCTTAACTCGACAACCATCATTCAAGATCACAATAGGTCCATCTCCTTTATTTTTGCGAGGCATCATATTTGTGTTGCCGCTTATCCTCCTTCTCACCCTCGTCGGCGATGGCCTCAGTGTTCACAGAAAACAATAAAAAAATGTGTGTTGAATATGGTTAATCCTAAGGCGTCTCTCTCTCCCTCTCTCCTCCCTTCCTCTCTCTCTCTCTCTCTCTCCCGCTTTCTCTCACTCTCGCGATGAGAAATCTGTTGTTTTCGCCTGCGATATTTTCAGAGGTATGCATGTGTAGTTATCGATGTTTTCTTTTCCCTATATGGTTATAGTGGGGTGTTTATTTGCAATCTGGATCGTCGCCGATATGAAAAAAAGGATCTTGCGCTATAAATTATAAGTTTGCTTCGATAACAATATTTTGAAAATATTTAACAGGTAAAATTAACATCATATTTAGATTCCACACATTTTTCTAATAAAATTTCATATATAATATGTTAAAATCGAAGTTATGGTTTAAAAGATATAGAGAATTTAGAAAATCATTTGGTTTGACTCAAATATATTCTAAAATAATATTTTAATATATTTAACAGGTAAAAATAATCTCATATTCATATTCTACATATTTTTCTAATCAAATTTCATATATAACATGTTCAAATCGAAGTTACGGTTTAAAAGATATGGATGATTTTAAAAAGCATTTGTTTGACTTAAATATGATCCGCGGATGAATTACCTAAAACATCAGGGGGGGGGGGGTTCGAAAACTGTAAAATAACGGTTCGGGTGTGACTTAAATCCGGACGGCGGGTTGATTTCAAGAAAAGGCAGGGACTTTTATGTAAAATACAAAAATAACGATTCGTTTTAACTTAAAACATGACTGCGGATTGAATTCTTTGAAATAGAGGGACTTTTCTAAAAAATGTCATGACGGACAAAAGAAACCCAATTTGCTTTATTATTAGTCATACTACATCATACATAATTGTTCATCATACTAAGGGTCGATGACGCCTCGACACGGCGGGTCCGCATCAGCCTCCAGCTTGACGGCGAGCGGCCTGAGCTCCTCCGGCTCTCTCTTGACCGGAGTGAGATGTGCTCGTCATGTCAGAGTCACGGGATTTTGCGGCAGTATATTATTCACATTGATGGTAAAACACTAGCACAACCCTAGCGACACCAATCAAGCAGTTCAGGACGGATGACTGACATCCAACCATCAACAAAACATTACCAATACTACTAGTACTACTACCAGGATTTTAAAAGGGGTTCGTCATAGCAAAGGCATTACTAATGCTACTAGTACTCGGTCACCGAAAGGTGGCTGAGAATGGAGGCCAGGGAACCAACCAACAAGAGAACATCATCAGTGCTAGCAGTGATCATCAGCTCTACGACCAACGTGACATCTCACAGGCGGAGGCCAATTGCCACGTTCCAAACGGTCAGCTCGCAGAAGAGGCCATGTGCGACGACGCTTAGGATCAGCTCTACGTTCAACACGGCGTGGTTCAGGCAACGGCCATCTGTCATGAGCAAGTACAAGTCGATGAGAGATTTATTTTAAACAATGTACAGATGGATAGTATTAACATGTGTAAGAAAGAATACTTGTTTCCATCAACCGCTGCGATAGTATCAGTATTTCTGTGCGTCCCTCCAGGCAACAACCATCTGTTGTTGATAAGACATATTTCAAAAGGCGCAAGAGTTACTGGATAAAATTTATTTCAAACAATATGTAACATATGGTATTCAAGAAAGAATACCTGTTTTCAACACCCTCGACAGTAGTATCATCTGCACTAGTCCTGCAAGTAGACCCAAAATCAATTTTACCATGAGAAAATGAGTTAGTTAAACCAATGACATACCAGCTTAGTGCATTAAAAATAGGATAAGAGCATGAGGAGAGGGTGTGGATAAGTATGGTATCAAGTATGATAATAGCAGATAACAACAGAACACACCCATGAATTAAGTTTTCGGGATCATGTACAATTATATCACTACATCAGTGCATAGTATTACAGCTTGGGGAACACACAAGTGCACAGCTCAGGATGTAAATGGACAGCTCACTGGACATTGTGGGACTTGCCCGTGCTGACCACCACTTCTTATATGGGACTATGTCATAGTCCAATTAATTTTCTTGTGACGTACGTGGTGTCCACATAGTACCACATATTTACAAAGCAAACTGCCACTGATATACAGTACTAGTGCAATACAGTGCCATTAGTACAGGCATAATTAGTACCCCCTCCAATCATTCAGTATAGAGCAAACATAGTACAGGAAATTGCCTACTCTAAAAAATCTCTAGATTCAACATTTATCTACAACTTAGATTATCAAAGCTGAACCCAAAGGATGATTCTGGCTACCAAGATGTAATGGAGAGCGACGAATCTGCATCAATGAGGTGTCTGAAGTCTGAACCTTTCATCTACCTAGAAGCCTAGAAGGGATGGCATGCGATGAGGTGTCTGAAGTCTGAACCTTGCTCCATATATATCATTCAGTTATCAAGTTGCTGCAGCCTGAATCTGCATCAATCCTCACCGCCTACTACTCCGACATCCACCGGTCCCATCTCCCATAGGCTGCGTCGCAGCAGAGGGGGCGAGGCAGATGAGCGTGAGGGGGAGCAGAGAAGATGTACAATGAAGTCGCTGCCGAAGGTCTCATCCGCCGTCCCAAGCTGCGCCCGCCGTCAAAGCCGACGTCACCACCGCCGGAGCTGAAGACAGTATCGTCAGGATTGCAGAGATAGTACCCCCTCAAGACCCGGCTCGGTCCCCGGCGCTTCCCGACGGCGGCCTCTTCGAGAAACATGGCGGTGACGGCGGTGAGATGGAAGGAAGGGATGGACTGGGGAGGCGTGCCGGTGGAGGCAGCGGCGACGGCGCCTAGGGCATGTCGAACGCGGCGTTTTCTTCTTTGTTTTTTTGCTGAGGAAAACGTGATGGCTGGGTGCGCGTGGAGTGTTGTGGTCCGCCGCTGGCCTCATGGGCTTTTCTGGGCTATCCATTTGTGCCATTTATTTTTTTATGGACATCCACCAACGCCATTTGATCTTTTTTTGGTGTGTGGCATATGTGGGACTACTGGGACCCAACGCCACTTACATCCTGATGCACAGCACATGCGCATTGTCATACCAGCCCAAACAAATTGGACCCAAATAATGCTTAAGTGAAAATGATTGAACGATGTGAAAACTAGACATGAATGTACTGACAGGACAACTTCCCTTAAAACCTAGAAACTTCTTCTATTTAAAAAGAAGAAGAGGCATACCGTTTTTTATTTAAGAGGCGATTAATAACATCCCTCGGCAGGAACGGAGTTTCTTCCTCATCATAAAAGTTCATTCCAACAAAATTCCCATCGTTGTCAATAAGAGGGCCCCCAATCCCAGCCTAGCAAAACAAAAGTAGCAACATACAAAGGTTACACAGAGATATCATTTGATAGATGTAGTGAGAGCTAGCTTATGTTAGTACTCCAATGCTAATAAATTTTTTCGCATGTTAAAGGTACCGAGAAGTCCACAAGAAATACCTTGGTGATTTTACAGGTGGAGACACAAAGTTGTATGCAATCAAGTTCGCTTTGTTTGCCAATCAACACCTTCCCCTCGACAGCCATTAGTTTGCGATGTGCAAAAAGACTACCCACAGCTATTACGTCCATAGATGAGGTAACTGGATCCCCACTGATTTTTATTGTCCGAGGACGCCAAAATCCCATGATGTCAACAAGAGCAACATTGTAGTGTAAATTATAATAGTTCAATATCCCTACGACTAGAAATCCATTTGGAAGGACAACTTCAATCTGCAATGATAATAATATATGTTAACCAGTATCTGAAATGAAAAGGCACAAAATAATAATTGATAGCAGTTAGTAGTAACAACCTTCAAGTTCTCATCAATCATGTGTGCACTGCCAGGAACTCTAACCAAACTTGCTGAAGTCAGAATTGTTGCAGAGCATGCTTTGCCCTTTATAAATATACCTGAGCAAGAAAACTTTTTTGCAAATCCTATAGAGATAACAATTTCAGTTATCAATCATTGATCAAGTAAAACATGGAAAAGTAAGGACTGTATAACAGAGTCATCACCATTGAAGGAAGCAAGTGAGACAACACTCTGATTCATTTTTGAAGCAAGACGTTTGCTTGATTCTGAAGCAAGCGAGTAGGCACTTTGATCCATTTCGAAACAAACACTTTTGAATGGTTTGCTCAAGATATCCTTCTTGAATAAATCATCGAGATGATTAATGTATTTCCCACCTAGCATGATACACAAGTTAAATGTGTTTGATAAAGTTTTTGAAGTGTGCATGTGCAACATAAGGAACTACTCAGCAAAATAAGTAAAAATATATTGGCCGCCAAGGGGTCATGGTAGGCCATTGTAGTTCAACTTTCCATATGTAATCCAAGAAAATTGGAGTCTGATAGTAATGATCCATCTTCCTTGTTCCATCCCACCTACCCTTCACCAAAAGTAACTCCCTGACTGGTGGAGTCATCAATGCACCATTTCCACATCTTGCTTAAGGGTTTGCCAATTATGTCATAAGTATTGATGTTTCTATGTTATCTTGTTTTCCTAACTCCAAGTCAGTTTCTGTGCCTGTGGATTTGTAGACTGATGTGCCACATGCATGATTAAATTTACTTTTATGATTTCCATAGCAACAAGCGGGCATTCGCCTAGTTTATCAAATAAATAAAATTGTGAAGACATAATGCTAGTACTAATCAGTCGGTACGTTCTTGCTATGTATGAACAGTATATGACCACACACCAAGTTAGTGGATAGGTAGGATCCCCAATAATCTCCCAGTTAGGTTGTTTATGACATAAAAATGGGGAAGCTATCCTATGAAATAAAATTGCTCACCTCCTGGCATGAAATATGATTGTCCATAACGACTATTCATTTTTGCTACAGCATTGTCAACCTCTTCCTTAACACTGCCCCACAATGTAGAAAACTCTGATAAATCGACAAAGAAAAGATAATACAGACCTTACACAAAATGAGCTATTAAATAAGGGAAATAAGACCCAAATAGTTGCAGATATTTCACAGCAGAGAAATGTAAGAAAATCTAAAACAATTTCTCCAGAGGTCTGTTTAAATGCAAGTTCAGAGTGTAGCAGAAATATGTATTAGCGCCAGATTAAAATAACAACCGTAATCTAGTACAGTGCAAATGCAGCTTGTTGGGCTACGGGAAGGGATGGTCACAGATGCAGAGCAACATGAGATGTAAAAAAACACAAGTACAAAATAGCTAATGGGGCAGTTTTGGGGATAAATCGTAAACCTCAGAAGCTGCTCTTTGACTTTCAGAATGATACACCTTACACAAATTCAAATAGAAACAGGTCAGGGAGATGTAGTATAGGACGAAGTGAGAGAGAAGCATGGATAAGCCAAACAGAGTGTGTGGTTCATCGATACTGAAAAGTGCGCATACCTGACCATCCCGCGAAAGAACATGAATTCACGAATTGAAGGCCTTTGTACGTAGGGGGTCTTTCTTTGTTTGGTGCCAGAGCAGTTCATCCCAACAAAGTTGCCATCAAAGTCAACAAGGGGACCTCCAATCCCGACCTAGCACAAACATGAGGATGAAGTTATGCATGAAAAATGCAATTCACAATTCCTGAAACTAAGGATATGCATCAGCGCATACAACGATAGAATGTAGATTAAGCCATTCATACCATCATACAGTTATTTATTTGAACTGTACAAACTGAAGCAGCTATCTCACCTCGTGGATTCGCCATGTGCTTAACATTTTCTCGTCGATATGAACGCTTAAAGAGGCAAGATCTACTCCGCCTGTGGTCTTTAATTCCCCCGAATCAAAATAGCGCCATACAGCTGCTACCTTCCTATAAGGCTCAAACGGCATGGCGCGATCAAGACTTAGATGACTTAGATGGGCGGCACCAGTAACATCAACGTTCTTGATTTTGACGATGAAATAATCAACATATAACCGAGGATTCTCTATCCACCCCGTGACAGCCTGATGATCGGGGAGGCGTACTTTTATCTGAAATGAGAACAGGGCAATGGCTGCACTGAATTAATCATTACAGGTGCAGCATATATATTAGCATAATTAATAATCCAGAAAAAGTTACCGTCAAACTTTCAGCGATCTTATCTCTAGGCCAAGTATAAGGAATCAAATTTATCGATGTCAGGAAACACGTAGCATCAGGACATGCGCTTTCAACACATATACCTGTGCATTCGCGTAACATGGTATCACCTGAAGAGGGAGAGAGTCATACGTGCAAACTGAATAGCTGATCATAAAAAAAGGTAACATGAGAAATTATTAACAGTATGATCACCAACCGTCGAATGAGGCCAGCGCCACAACACTCATGCTTAATCTCGAAAGTACTTGCTTACTCAAGGCGCCTTTTCTGGATTCACTCAATCTCGCTGCGGACTTAGCGCTCAAACCTAGTTAATTGAAATAAAATCATGTGTGATACAGTTAATAGAACAGTCACCTATGAATAGGCAGGAAAAGGAAGCAAAAATGGACTCACTTGGCCAAATTGCTTTCATCTCACTGTTCATTTTTGCCCTTGTAGCATCATCAACCCCTTCCTTAACACTGCAGCGCAATGTAGAAAATTCAAAGTGTTCAATCCACGAAGGAAATATATCGCAACCACATTGAACAAGGGAAAGTTAGAACAACAAGAAGGGAGGCAAATAGTTACAGATATTTCACCGCAGAGAATTTAAGAAAATCTTTAACAATTTAAGAAGAGAAACACATGAGTACAAAAATGGCTAGTGGGACAGTTTTTGGGATAAACTCGTAAACCTTAGAAGCTGCTGTTGATACAGCTCGCACACAAACTCAAATAAAAATAGAAGGATGTATGTGGCACAATAGGATGCAGCAAGAGAGACACATGGGTAAGCCAAAGAGGGAAGGGCAGTTCATCAATACAAAAAGTGTGCATACCTGACCATCCCCTTATGCAACAAGAATCGAAGAATTCGCTCCCTTCGCACGTAGGCAGTCTTTTCCATTTTGGTACGAGAGGAGTTCATCCCAACAAAGTTGCCATCAAAATCAACAAGGGGGCCTCCAATCCCTGCCTAGCGCAAAAGTGACAATGAAGTTACACAGAGAAAATGCAACTCATACTGACTGAAACTAAGGATATGCGCATACAATGGTAGAAATATACTATTAAGCCATTGACACAATCATACAGTTATTTATGTGAACTGTACAAAGCAGCTCACCTTGCGGATCCGGCACGTGCTTACGATTGTCTCACCGGTTAGAAGGCTTGGAGAGGCAAGATTTAGTCCCCTTGTGGACTTTAGAAGTCCTGAATTGAAACAGCGCCATACAGCTACTACCTTCGTATGAGGCTCAAACTGCATGTCACCATCAAGACTTGCGACATCAACTCCAGACACATTCCTGATGTTGACAATGAAAAAATCAACATATATCCCGGGATCCTCTATCCGCCCAGTGACAATCCGATTATTCGAAAGGCGTACTTTAATCTGGAACGAGCACATGGTGAATTAATGATTACAGGTGCAGCACATACAAGCATAATTAATTATCCATGAAAGGAGAAGAGAGAAAAAGCTACCGTCAAACTTGCAGGCCAAGTTGGTGGAATCAACTGTCTGGATGTTAGGATTGTAGCTTCAGAATCAGGAGCTGAGGTTTCAATGCATATGCCTGTGCATTCGCGTAACTTGGTATCACCTACGCACACGTGCAGACCGAATATTTGGTCATTATAATAAAACAGGCAATATGAGAAAGTATTAACAGTAATAAGTATAATTACCAACCATCAAATGAAGCAAGCGACACGACACTCCTACTCAATCTTGAAACTGCTTGCTCACTGAGTTGACTCAAGGCGCCTGCTAATTAAGGGGATATACCATCCAAAGCTAGTTAATTGAAATAAAATCGTACTATGTGATAGTACAGCTAACAGAAGAGAAGCGACAATTTTATTGGTATATGAGTGTAAATATGCACTTGCAGGGAAACAGCGGCATGGACTGACTTGGCCTAGCTACCCTTTTGTAAGGGCGTTGCTCTTCATCGCCTCTCGTCAGCCGGCGCTTCTTGTTTTCCATCCAGCCTGAACAGCAAGGAACAGAATTCAACTAACACTGAACAGAATTCAACTAGTGGATCGATATGGTTGCCAAATAAATTGGAGGGACTGGACTATCCGTGTACAATATGCGATCTGAGGAGGAAACTTTTAGATCAAAAACCAAGAAAGAAAGATTTTGATTTAGATCTCGGACAATCCAAGCAACCAAAATTTCACCGGAGGTGGAGAAGCGATATACGGAGTATATAGTACCTTGGAAACAAGCTCACCGGCCGCCGCCGCTGGATTCGTCGACGGAAGGACCTCTGCTCCGACTAGTCCACTCCAGCAGGATCGGTTTCTTGGGGAAGTGGAGCAGGATGCTGTCACGTCCCAATAGTAGTCGAAGTAGGCTTTGGTAGATTTTTTTTTAGGGTTAGTAGGCTTTGGTAGATTTTTTTTTTTTTGAGTCGAAGTAGGCTTTGGTAGATGAATTAGGCACTGGAGCCCCACGGTCATTCGTCGGCCTTTCCGCTTGACTCCTTTTTATTCCTTGTCCGTGTCCCTTATTTTTTAAAAAGTAGCCAGGCTAGACTTAATTTTAGGATCCCGATAAATGTCACACATGTGCACGAACACATCGCAACTTTGAATGTTTTTGATGGCAAGTTTAATAATGCAAGGATGGCAACTTTAGTTGTTAAGCATGGCAACTTCTTTTTTTTATGACAAGTTTAAGTTTTTTGGGTTTTTTTTAAATGGCAACTTTTATTTAAAAAACGCCAGGGCCGGATTGCTTCGTGCCACACATGTGGCACTTATCATTTGAGTAATTTTAAGATATCATCTCCAGTTTCTCATAAAGAAAATGGGAAGATATCCTTTCCTTGATATAAATATATAATGTCCTGACATTTTACATACAACACCCCATACATCAATATTTCATTAGCGGTGACAGAATAACACACACATTTACTTTATGATCTAATACTTGGGCAATATTAGCGTCACTTATAGTAATTTGAATTTATGTTAACATTAGAATACTGCCGTCGCGACGGCTTGTATGTGTCCGGGCCATGTGTGCTCTATAATCTCCTTACGACAAAACTTGACGGGTATTTATTCATTTCATCATCATATTATATATATTTTTGGCTCATTTCAAATCAATAGTATTGACATTCAACAATACATCGTATGGCTCTTTTATCGCTTGCCCTCACTTTGAGCTATTGATTTTATTATTATTTTGAAAAGGTTATTTATTCTTTTTTATTATATATGAATGTTTGCCATTAACATTTATTTATTCTGTATGGTTTTCACATAATATTTATTTTGGTCAAAAACCATATCAACAGATGCTCCCTCGAGGTTGGGTCCGAGTGTATTTTGATTCGGGTCCAGAGCTTGAAACTTTTTTTGAAACATAGTACAAACGCAAGCGCTCATATATACGCGCATACACTCACCTCCTATGAACGCACACACGCAACTCTATCCCTGTGAGCACCTTTGAGATACTGAGCCAGCATATCATCTTGAGATTTACGAAGTCATTGTAGGCGCCTCATAGTCTTTTTTGTGGAAATAAAACTTGAATTACTCAGTCAAAGTATCTTTACAATCCTCTCTTACTGGTCAAGGACCTCGACTGGTCCTAACCCTAACCAGGTCATTGTTCTATCATTAATTCTAGCAAAAGAAGCCAATTTATCACCGGCTTTATTCTGAGAACGGGGCGTGTGAGTAATACAAAAATTACAAGTACTTCTAAGCTTCTTTATCTCAAGCAATACGTCAGCATATATTGATCTGTCAACTTCCATGCTCTGGATCATGTTCACTGTATTGACTGGATCCAGTTCAATAATGATAGGCAAATCACTCCTCTGTAGCGCAAAGGCTAACCCTCCTTACATGCGCAAATCTTCGCTTTTAATGCCTGCCAACAAGAGTACAACTTCCTACATGCTGAGAAGATGATTGCTCATGTATCGTCTCTGAGAATCATGCATGCGCCAACTTCTCCATTTGATACATATGACCCGTTAGAATTCAACTTGACCCACCCTTGCGCTGGAGGCCGCCAACTGGAAGCAACACCTAGAGCTGGAGCGCTGTTATTTTTAGCAGTCTGGTCAAGGGCTATGACCATCTTCCCTTTACGTGAATCAACGTTTATATTCAATTTAATTCCAATGATTGAATCCAGGTGACTTTGAAGAAAACAAACAAAGACCTCCACGGGTGGTGCTAGTTTATTGTGAACCATTTCATTGCGAACATACCAGCTTCTCCACAAGTTCTTAATAGTGTGCATCTAATAGCTTAATCTAAAGGCGCCAGAAGTTGGAGCAACCATTCCTTCCCTGAGTTCTTAATGAATCCCATAGCCTGTAGACATCAAACATTTGCCATCTTTTCATATAGCTGCCCGCCGAGAGGGCATACCAAGAAAGGGTGAAAATTGTCCTCCACTTCCCTTGCACATATTGGACACACATCAGAAGTTTCCAACCCAATTCTATGTTTCTTCTGACAAGTCGACACAGAGTTTGTCACCATGCGTCACACAAAATTCCGTACTATCGGTGGTGCGTCGCTCGACCAAATAAATTTCCAACATGGACATGATCCCAACGGGTTAGCACTAGAGGCAATTGATCGACTTCCCCTATGAGCTTCTTCAAATGCCCGATCATAGGCGCTCTCAACAGAGAACTGACAGAGCATCATCTGAGTTAATTGATGCCCGGATCTTCAATACTTCAGCAACATCCGTGGAGAAAAAATGCCTCATTAATAGTGCATAATTCCAGGTTTCATTATCATTTAACAATCCTGAGACAAATCTGATCCAACATCTACCTTGAGGAGAGATAGGTTTATAAGAGTGAGGTCTCGACATCCAATTTATCCCTCCAAATCCATGTGCTTTTTACCATCGCCCATTCACCATTCCAACCCCTTCTTCAGCAATGCCAAACCATGACTTGTTGCTTTCCACGAAGACGAAGCATTACCGGCAAACACAGTATCCTTCAATTTTCCATTAGATTAGTATCTTGCCTTGAGAACTTAGGCACACAGGCTTCGAGGATTAGAAAATAAATGCCATGCTTGACGAGCTAGCAAGGCTTGATGATTAAATAAAAGGAAGTCACGAAAACATGTACCTCCCTTATATTTAGGTTGCATATGGCTATCCCAACTCCTCCAATTGACCGTCCTTTTGCCGTGTGCTGCACCACAATAAAAGTTCCTTACCATCCCGGACAGATCATCATAGACTGAAAAAGGGAACTTAATTAAAAACCCCATGATGTAAGTTGGTAGAGCCCGGGCTATCGATTTAATGAGTACTTCACGTCCGGGTTAAGCCAAGAGACCATTTCCCCATTGAATTAGAGGGTGTTTGTTTTCAGAGACTTATTGGTTTAGGGACTTAAAAAAGTCCCTATAAATCCCATCTAAACCAAACAGGAGGGACTTATAAGGACTTAAAGTGGTCATTTGGGACTTATGAAATAAGACTCTCAAGGAGGGACTTATAGGGACTTATAGTTGTAATATGGTCTTATAGGGACTTATAAGTCCCAGGAACCAAACAGGTAGGGACTTTTTAGGGACTTGGGACTTATAAGTTGGGACTAAAAAAAGTCCTAGGACTTATGAACCAAACAGGGCCTTAATCTTTTGGAGCCAAGAGACGCCTCGTAGTCGATGGAAAGGTCTCCTTCCACCGAACACGCATTGTCGAAAATTCTGCAATAAATCTAAAAAATTGTGAGCATCATGACTTAAACCTTGATGGGCCGAGGATATCACTGTCCTCCTAACCATCCAAACACAGTTTGCTTCGCCCTAGAACTCGAAACTTGACAACACATATTTCATGCGTACATGGGCTAATGATTTTTTTAATATTTCTTTTTTGAACACAGTCGAAATCGCTCACATATACGAGCATACACTCATCCATGTGAACGCACGCATGCACCGCCTATCCATATGAGCATCTCCGAGAGACTGAGCATGCACAACATCATGAGATTGATAAAGTCATTACAGACGCCTCGTAGTCGACGGAAATGTCTCCACCCATTAAACGTACATCGCCGAAAAGCCTGAAATAAATCTAGAAAAATGCAAGCACCAATGTCAAGTCGAGGACTTCAACCTGATGGACTAATATATTTTTAAGTATTCCTTTTTAATGCGTCTAATTATTTAATCAATATGCCAGATATATATGTGGATATACATTTTATTTTTATCTATGTGATGCTAATCAATCTTGTAAGAACATCTACGGTCAGACTTGGCAAATCCGACCCCTCAAATGCCCGCGAACGCGCCCGGGCGCGTCTACAGACACTGACCGGTCAAGCCTCAAATTACCTTTTTTTCCACAACCAGACACCTCAAATAGCATATCTCAAATCCATCAAACTCATGCAACTACGTAAACAATGCATTACACACATCGTCCGGCTACTACATCACTAACATGCTATCGAACTATCAAAATTTGGCATGTTTGGATATGGTGGAGAAGGTCATCCACGGCTTCCCTTGCCCTTCCCGGATCCCTTGCCGTCCTTCTCGTGGAAGTACCGGTCAAAGACACAGTAGGGATCGAGCCGAATCTGCTCGTCGCTGGAGTTGTCTGACCCGTGGATGTCCTCCTTCTCCTCCTTGGGTGGCAGTCCGGCCATGGCACGGACTGCCCGATTCTGCTCTCGGGCAAGGGCGTGGGTGTTCCTCCACTGTTGCTTCTTTACAATGCGGGCGCAGATGGATTCCTCCTCTGCGAATGCCCGCGTCGCCGCATCAGCCGCCTCCACCGCTGCCATGTCGACAGCGAGGCAGACCCTTATCCTCTCCTTCCCACGCCGGGCACACGTGTCCCGGTGGGACTCATACTCCATCGGAGCGGTGATGGGGAAGGGGGGTTTGAAGGTTCCAGGGATCGCGATGAACCAGCCCCGGAGGATCTGGACGCCCGATGCGCCGACGCTATGGAGT